GCGGTGTTAGAGCTTTAGGTTTAGTTACTTCACCTCAAGATTTTTTCAGTCGTATGAATATAAATGAAAAGAAAAGTTATGGACTGACTTGAGCAGAAAAATATTCAATCATTCATTTATTTGTTCATTCGTTTATTTATTTATCTGTGATATTACTTTATACTTATATACGTGAATTTCATTATGTTAGTTAGAACTCTATCGTAAAGCAATCACTTCGTCAACTAATCACTTACGATCCTAAGTAACAGTGTAAGGGATGTTAACTAATATTAACACTAATAAGTCGTTATGAATCGTAAGATCATGAGTGAGTCGGGTACAAACAAATCGGAATTTAAAGACAAAAGGAGACTTCAACATCTCTCACCCTGATACAAAAAATACAAAAAATTGCAAATCACTCAGTAATTGGATACAAATTATAGAGCCATCGTAATATCAACAACAACAATGAGCATTCCCAAAGAAAGCAAGTGAAAAGTGCAGAGCCCCGATCATTGTTGAGTTTGACATTGAGTATGTGAATCCGGTATGAAATGGGTATATTCAGCATAATTGTTATCGACTCGCCCCCTCGTTTTATATCTTAGTACCGCGCACGTTCATGATTGTCTCCACTTTTTTGGATGATAAGCATGTTTGATAACAGATTGTTATAGGATTTTGAGTAAGATTCTTCTTTATCGAGCACTTTGAAAATAGAGTATTTTGATCAGTGAGGTTGTCAATCCATTGTGGCCATGCGCCTTGTTGGTTTTCACTTTGTCGAGTACCGATTACATCAAAAACTCTGCAATTGGAGCTATAAGAGTCTTATGAGTATGGTGAGTAATGAAGGTTTTTCTTGTACAAAGCGTAATGGACCATAGCTAAGAGCAGGAGGTAACAAGTCACTGATTGGTAGTGTTGATAGCGATTGTTTTGCAACAACGGAGGTCAGTGTGGTTTTGAAATGTTGAAATCTGCTAGCTGGAGGAGGAACGGGAGCTGCAGCTGAAGCTGAAGCTGTAGGAGCTGGTTTGGAACTCAGTAACTGTGGGATGAGATTATGATTGTTTCGAATCTCTGATACATTCCAAAGGTGGTGAATCTGGCAATTTCGATGCTTGGTGGCACGACAGTGGTGGTTCCTGGTAAAGCCTTGACTTGTGTTGTAAGAGAACTAGACTGAGGATTTAGCCAAAAATCAAGTGAAGAGTGCAAGGTGAAGTCCTTAATGATCGTTTGATGTGGTGGTCCATAAGTATCAAAGAATTGTAATGTGTACTGAGGTAACACATGTGATGGAAGTTGAGGTAGCACATTAATAACCGTTGAAACTGGTGTTGGTGTTGATGTAGTTGGTGGAGAACATTTGCTATCAACTCTACCAATCAGTGACTTGTTACCTCCTGCTTCAAGATATGATCCATTATGCTTTGTTCAAGAAAAACCATCATTACTCACTATACTTATTACTAACCATGGAAATGAAGGAGCAAATCACCACTGGGTTCAAAACATTGGAAAAGAAGTGTGAGAAAGATATTTATGCCCGAAAAAAGGATCCTAAAAAAGGGCAAGATACAAGACCAACAAAAACCGTTTTCAGAAGATTTTTTATGTCCCTTTGAATTCCTTCATATTGGGATGTTGTTTTGTTACTCTTCCAATAGAAGAGTTGGATATCTATGATGTTGACGATAGCATTGTTGATTAAGAGTCCTTGAGTTTCAACTTTGTTGATTGAGGCAGGATCTGGTAAAGTTGATACAAAGTGATATGTACCCAGTGGAGGTTTTCGTTTTGTAACAAATTCAGATATCGTGGTAACTAGTAAAGGCGTGCCAGGGCGTATTTATTCTGATGCCTATGGAGGTTATTGCGTATGTTGTAGACTATTATGGTTTTCGATGTTGTTGTATCTTTCCCTTTTTGAGATTTTTCAAAGCCTCTTTTTTTCTTTTTATATTGGGAAAATGATTTCTTCGCTTTCCGTTTATAATTAAAGGATATTCATACAATAAGAACTCAAAATTCCTACTATTACTATAACAACTTTCCACATATGCACCCTTTAACCAAGGAGTGTATATTTGGTTTCGAAACTAGTTTCAATTTGAAATATGGGTACTGGAATTTTTCTCCTCGATAAGATATCTTTCGGATCCTTTTGTTCTGATTCTATCTCTTTCCTTTATATATATTTCTTTTCTTTTCCTATCTCTCTTTTTTTTCTCTTAGGTTTTGTACTTTTTAGATAAATTTTTGATCTTTCCGCATGAAACATGGGAAGTTACTCTTCATAGTTTACAGGTTTTAATCAAACCTCATATATAGTTCAATACATCCTTTTCATTCGCCGCTGAAAAAAAAAAAAAAAGAGATATCCTTCTTTTGGGCATAAATCTCTTTCTCACAGTTTTTCTCCGATGTTTTGAACCCAGTGGTGATTTGCTCCTTCATTTCCTTGGTGGTCGATTGTAGTTCTGTTGCTGTTTCTTCTATGTGCTTGGTGATTGGGGCATCATATCTGGTTTTTGCAGCTCCTAATTCTTCATTGACCTTTTTTATTCCTCTTTGAAATTTTGTTCAGCTTTCATAACGTAATCTAAATTATATCGAATTTTAAGGTTATATATAGCCGTTAAATTTTGTTTTCTTGCGTCTTCACTCAAAACTTTCATTGTACCCTGACTTTCTTAAGTTTTGCGATTGATTGAGTGTGCTTCCGTCAAAATGTCTTTCGGATGTTCATTTTGGGAAGTCTTATCAATGTGTGACTTAGTTCTGTGCCCGCAGCAATTTTTCTTGTTTGCAACCAACTGGGACTCGAGTTTCACTATTTTTGGTTCAAGTGAATTGAGAATTTCTGAGCTGTTGCGTTGATTGCGTTCGAGTTTGTTGTTCAACTGAGTCAATTGGTTTTGAAGTCCTGTTGAATTAATGTCCTTTAACAATCTGCGGGTCTCTGGGATTTGGTTTTAATTTGGGAGATGACCCTCTCTGAACTTTGTAGGATAATGTTTGCATTCCACTTTCTTTTCAGAATAAAATTTAAATGTAAAAGTATATTTCTCGATGAAGATAAATCCTTCCCCTATTGAATAATAATAATAATAATCTAGATTCTCGTTGGGGCTGAATCAACCCTCGTCCATTTGATAGGACAATCATCCTGGCTCAAATAAGACCACTTATCGTGAATAATTCGGAGATCATATGGGCCATTGAGCGGAAATGAAACTGTTTAAGTGTTGAGAAGTCAAAGATATTTGCGGGGAGGTGTGAAAGGATGACGAAGAATTGAATACAAAGTCTAGTTAGTAAGATTCAGTGAGTCTTTCCAAGCGTTGACGTGATAGAATGGTTGTTTGGTGTTGTTGGAGATACCTGGCGAGTGCTCTTTTGAAACTGTAAATGTTGGTTTCAAAGCTAGAAGATAGTAAAAAAATTGAGTTATATAATTAGTGAGGTATGTAAGTGACTATTCTGTGACACTTAGTTCATGACTATGGAAGAAGAGCAAGATAGAAGGGAACTAAAATTGGATTTGGAGTGAATTGCCCTAGTTTGTTCAAAAATTTTTTTTTTTTTCAAACGTATACTAAATATTTATTGACTATATAATAAGGAAGACTTATTGAAATTCCAGTCTAACTTATGGAAACTATATAGCTATAAACATTCGACTAATGAAGGGAGGATATAAAAACTAAAAATTAGCAAAAAACCTAATTAATGGAAAGAATCGACTTTTCCAGCTTCAGGATGGAGGAGATTCCCAATATCCATATCTGGAATTATATTTTNGAATATATTGATTGATAGAGATAATGGATAAGGGAGCCATTCTTTCTACATCATTGTAATAAAAGACAGCTCTTTGGGAAGTAACAATGTAAACTAGTAGACCAATAAAACGGTTTAGTTGATATAATTGAAAATCTGAAAGGTTTTTATTACAAATGAGGTTTTGAAGGGATAAATAACTGATAGGGAGAGAGCATATTTTACTCCATAGGAGTTTAGTTCCGGAACAATTGAAAAAAGAATGTTGTACACCTCCATGGAGTGGTTCATTGGAGCAGAGCCGACAGGGGCCCCAGAAATTGTAGTTTAAGGACCCAATTTGTAGATGGTAATACCATTCAGTAAAATGAGGGAAGACTGATCTTTTAGAACCAAGCCATTTGAAGAAGGATGTCCATTCTGAGTTGGTAGCTGGGTGGTGATCTTTCCAATAAGTTGCGATGGGTATTTGAGGAGAGAGTTGGGTGTGGAATCGCATTGATGTATGACTAAATGATGTTAAGGATAGAGGTTTACCATCGAAATTGTCAATGAGGTTGGAAAAAAGTTGTTGATGTGGTG